TCTCTCAATTTTTTCGCTCTTGACGCCATGTATCTCATAATGCCAAATTCAGAAGCGATTTTCCGCTCGCTCCACGACTCTGGAAGAACCGTCAAGATTTGCAAGCGCTCACCGTACTTTTCCAGATCATTGAATTTTTTCTTCAAACCATCCAGCATTTCTTCTAATTCTATTTCTCTCGAAGATCGATAGCGCTTTGATAAAGAAGGATCAGCGTCACTTTGGTCATCTTCCGCATCAGAATGCATGGGGGAACTGGAGAATTCAGATACATTGTCCGCTTCTTCATCGATTGAAATGCCGGAATCGTCGAGATGGAAAGACCGACCTGATCTCAGAGAATTGTTCATCACATCTGGGCTTTTTTCGGGTGTTTCAGCTTGGGGCTTTGATATCTCGGGTGGGGTGTCCGAACATCGAAGATGTGTATCATGAAGGTTCACCATTGAGACGGGTGGAATCACATAATTCGGGGCCATCTTCCGGCACTGGCCACAGATTTTTGCAGACTTTGGTAGAAAGGGAAACTTCTTGTGTATTGCCGAAAAAATGGGCCACAAATCCAAACCATTGTGTCCCTTCTGACCAGGAATCCGCATCGGATTCGCACACCTATCACTTCGCGGCATTCTATGAAATGCAAAATTATCAAATCCAATCCAAAATGATCCGAAAAATGAGGATTATTCCAATAAGTAACGTGAAAACTGCTTATCTTGATACAACAGACAGGAAAATGCGAATCGATTCGCAAGGAATTGTACAACGATGAAAACTCAATGAGGAAGTTGAAATTTTCACTAAAACTAGAGCGTCAGGAAAAACTGATGATATTAAATCAATGAATTGATTCTTTTTGTTTTCTTTTCTCATTTGTTTGGTCATGATTAGGCGAACTTCCGATGATGATGACCCAGTATAGCTCTCATAAAAAGCGAAAAGAGGCAAAAATGAGAAGAAAATTTTTTTCCCGGCGCATTGTTTCTCTTTTCCATCGTGACCATCTCTTTTCTAACTAATATTCTTTAAAGGTATGGATTAAAATATCAATTTCTCCATAAAAACAAAGCTGCTCTCCTAAAAGGCCTAAAAACACGAAAATTTAGGAAACAAAAATTTTCTCCGGTACACTGGTTGTCTCTTTCACGATGGCGTATTTTTTTCCATCATATATCGACGTCCTCTATGAGAAAAAAAAATATTCCAGTCGAATACCGGACGGCCCTAGAGCCGAAAAAAAATAAAAACTTGAAAGTTCATCGAAATTTAGGTGTAGAAATTTCTTGCAAGCCTATGAAATATTTTTTCCTGAAAGTATGAATGAAAATAAAGAAATTTTTTTTTTATTTGTTCGAATCGGATGCGCCATTCAAAAGTTATGAATTTTTGAAAATTTAAAGTTTGGTAGTCATCATCTCAGAAACAAAAAATCATGAGGCAATGAAATTTGGCAGGAATAGTCTCTATATATTGTATGTATGTTTATTAACTTCCCTTACGGGACACAATCTGATTAGAATACTTGTCACATATTTTATACCTTAACAATTATTCTAACTTACATTCCCTCCTCATTCATTCTCTCACCCACACCTCTAAACCTTTCCTCCCTTCTCTCCCCCATCGAAACCATCTACACACTCAAACAGAAACCACACTCACATGCTCTCTTTACCGGGCCACACCGTTACACTCTGGCCTCCCTCCCTCTCCTCCTACACCGTCACTCTTCCTCACTCCCAAATACACACTGTCTCTTCCTCTCTCTCTCCTCACGCGCTGACCGGCTGCCTCTCCTTCCGTCTCCTCCTTCTGCCGAGCTCCATGTCTCCGTCCTTCACTCCCAGCATTACTTGCCCTAGTGCGCGCCGGTTTCCGTCCGCGCCCAAGAGAGCTACTCAGTTCACTCCCCCGCCGCTTACTGCCACCGGCGCCACTATTCCTCTCACTCATTAACCTCCTCCTCCTGTTTCTTTCCTCTAACCTGGCCTTTCCCTGTCCCTTTCTCTTCATCCTTTGTCCCCTCTTTTTTCTCTCCATCTTCCTCCTGTTTCATTCGACCATTCTGACCTTTCCCTGTCTCTTTCACGTCATTCTTTTCCCCCACTTTCTTCTTTTCATCTTCCTCTTCCTTCTCTCTACACCATACTTTCTTTTCTGCATCCCATGACCACCATATTCCCTCAATTCCTACCCTTCCTTCCTCTCCTATCACACATTTTCCCTCCCTCTCTGCTGCCATCGCCCTCGCCCTCAGCATCCACCTCATTCTTCTCTCTTCAAACGACAGGTCCCTATCAACGTATAGCCCAAAATCTTCCACTATCCTCACCTTACTCCGCAACACCATCTGGGCTACTTCCTTCCCACTCAATTCCACTACCAGCACCCTATCACCTCTGCCATCCCTCCTCTCCTCCATCCTCACTATTTCCACCTCCTCACCACAGACCTTCTCCAGCATCCTCCTTGCTTCTTTCCTAGCATTCCACCCATCTTCCGTAAGCCCCATTATAATCACCCCTTTTTCCTCAGTTTTTTCCGCTCCTCCAGCATCTGTTCCTCCCTCTCTCTCCTCCTTTTCTCCACTCTCTCTCATCCGCTCTTCTCCTCCTCATGTCTTACTCGTGCTTTGTCTCCTCCATCCATGTCCGGTTCCTCTTTTATATCCTTATCGTCTGCCGTAGCGTTCTCCACCTTTTCCTCCTCCTCCACTACCTTTGTCTCCTTCCTCTTCTCCATGTCCTGCTCTCCTGCCTGCTGCACTACCCCGTTTCCTCCTATCTCCACTTCCGACTTATCCCCTTCCTGATTCCCCTGTACCACACTCAGCTTCCTCATCTCAGGTACCTCCGTACCACTTCCTCCTCACGCCTCACCCTCTTCCTTCACCGTCGTTCCGTCCCTCCTTTCGCCTCTTCCTTTTCCTTCTTCCAGCTCACTGCTCATTTTCTCCTCTTCCTCTTCCTCCTCAAGGTTTCCTCTTCCTCTTCCTCCTCAACCTCCCCAACAACTCTTTCAGCACCTTTCTCAGCCCTTCAAAGCACATTATCACTTCCCTCTTCCACTGTCTATCCTCTTCCCTCCATCTCTTCCACTCCTCCATCTCAACCATTTCCGCAATCTTTACTACTAATATTTTTCCTTCTCTTTTAAGCATACGCTCTGCTGTCTTTGCCGAAACTGACTCGTATCTCACTAATTCTCACTAAACCGGTAAATCGTTTAGGGGGGGAGGGGTTCTAGTCAAAACAATTTCTTTGTGTACCTCTCTGTTGTTATCCTCTTCTCTTTCATTCTCCGCTGTCTCTTTCTCTCCTCTGTATACCCCTGCTTGTTTGCTCTCGCCGCGTGTCTCTCCTGTTCCCTTATTTCTGTCCCTGGAGCGACACTTTCCCTGCAGCCATCACTCATCAACATTAACGAGTTCCTCCCACAAAATCTCCATAATCTCAGACGCGCTGTGAGGACTGCTGCCAAGGAGAGAAGCTTTCATACCTTCATTCGAAATGGAGCTGTGTTCATAAAGAAAGAGAAGGCGGATGCTCCAACCAGAATCTCATCGACGGCTGAATTGAAACACTTTTTGGCGGGCCCTCAATAAACTCTTCGGCTTCTGCTATATTTCCTGTCTCCAATCTTTCTCTTTCTCTCTCTTCTGTTTCTCAGTCTCTCGCTCCGCTTTTGCTAACACATTCCTACCTTAAGCACAGTCAGGCGACAGCTGGAATTGGAGGGTTTGCGTGTATGTCATCTTAATGTGAACTCTCCCAGAGTGCGCTGGTGCGCTGGTGCGCTCGCTTTGCTCCGATTTTTCTCTGAGCCTTGTGCCGCACGGAGCCACTCATCATACTCATTGATCAGACTCCTGGCTTGATCTGTGCCTGATTGATCATGATGACACGCTTCTATCTTACTGGAAGACAGAGGCCCCCTTTGTAGATGGTCACGATCTTATCACTGCAACAATACAGGCTGTCCTGCCGCGCCCATCTGTGAGTAAGGACTTCACTTACAGGGATTTTGCCACTCTGGATCTTGATGTGCTATTGTCGCAGCTTGCTGGGAGTGACTGGTCGGTGTTTAATGACCTGTCGTCTCCAGACGAAATGACTGCATGTCGGGGCGGAAATATTGGCGTCGCTATGGACGCTGCTGTCCCGCTCAAGACGGTAAGGAAGTCCTCGAAGTGCAAGCCGTGGTTTACTGATCGGATCGTTGCTCTTGTAGCGGAAAGAGATCGCCTGTACCGTGTGTACAAACGTACTCACTCTCGTCAGGCACTCTTAACCTATCGCACGGCTCGTGATCGTGCTCATCATGAGGTTGAGGCGGCACGTCAACTTTTCTTCCAGCGCAGGCTGGAGCCTCTCTTTGACCCTTCACTCATCTGAAAGGAGCTCAGAAGGCTTGGTGTGGTGACTGGGAATGACTCAACACCCGATTTCCATCCTGATGTCTTGAATCGTTGCTTTACTGGAGTGTCCTTTGACGAGACAGAGCGTTCGCTGGATGGGTTCTTGAACTCGGCTGAGCTAGGGGCCATCCCTCCTGCCGTGGGTTTCTCCTTCAGGCCAGTCACTGCTGATGAGGTACAGAAGGATGTTCTGCACTTCTCTACCGAAGCTAAAGGGACTGATGGTGTTCCCCGGTCGGTGGTTCTGGCTTCCATGCCGATTCTAATACCTCATCTAGTGATGCTCTTTAACATCTCTTTCGCTCGGTCCTACTTTCGCTCTGAGCGGAGGAGGTCCCTTATTGTTGCGCTTGGCAAGGTGAAAAACTCTGTGTCATCTAATGACTTCAGGCCGATTGCCTTGCTCTGTTTCCTCTCCAAGGGGTTGGAAAAACGTGCTTCCCAGCATATCTCCGGCTTCTTTGCTGAGTGCTTCATTCTGGACTCCCTGTAGACGGGCTTCCGTCCATTCAATGGGACGCAGACGGCGCTATTGAAACTGACAGACGACATTAGGACAGGTATTGACAGACGCCAGCTGACGATGCTACTATTATTCGACTTCAGCAAGACATTCGATTCCGTTTGTCATGTGTTGCTGCTGCGGAAGCTGTTAGGCTATGGCTTCTCAGCTTCTTCAGTGCGGTGGCTTGCATCATATCTGGCTGGTCGTTCGCAGGTTACACTAGGCGGGGCGAGTGGCTGTTCATCTTTCTGTCATCTGAACAGGGGAGTTCCGCAGGGATCTGTTCTAGATCTTCTGCTATTCTTCCTGTTCATTAATGATGTCGGTGTAAACTTAGGGCCTGGAGTTCGGCATCTGATATATGCTGATAATCTCCAGATTTACCTGACCTTTCCACGTGAGGAATTAGAGGATGCCACTCGTCGCATGAGCAACGCTGCTAACCGTGTGATAGACTGGGCTAATGCAAATCGGTTGAAGCTGAAAGTAGCGACGACGAAAGCCATCATTTTTGGCTCTAATGTCTTCGTTAACGATGTCTATTCCTTGCCTGATTTGTCTGTCAATGTTGGTGGCTCTGCAGTTCCATTTGATACTTCCGTACGCAGCCTGGGAGTGGTTCTGGATAACAAGCACTCTTGGAAGGGACATGTGGCGTATGTGACGCAGAGGGTTCACTCTGTAATGTACCACCTTCGGTTCCTTAGAGCCAGTACCACTCTGGGTCTGCGTAAACACCTCATTCAGGCTTTGGTGTTCCCCCTGATCGACTACTGCTATCTCGTGTATGATGGTCTGTCTGGTGTGCTTGTTACTATGATTCAGCGTCTCATCAATATGACGGTCAGATACATCTGTGGGGCAAGGAGAGACGATGACATTACTTCCTATCGTCTGCGGCTTGGCTGGACGACGTGTGAGGTGCGCAGGAAGTACTTCATCGCGTGCCTCACTTACAAGATCCTCCGCTTTGGTCAGCCGGTATATCTGGCTGACTTTTTTGTGGCCAGTCGGGCCGTGCGGTCAGTGAGGGGTGAGGTGACTCCCCTTATGATCCAGCCTTTCAGAACTGAAGCCATGCGATCCTCCTTCCACGTGTCTGCGGCTTATTTGTGGAACTTAATTCCCTTTGCAGTGCGGGACCTTCCCACACTGTCGTCCTTCCGATTAACTGTGCGGAATTATCTGAGGGACAATTCTGGATGCTATTTCTACCCTTTATTTTTGCACCCTTCCCTCTTTCATCGCTACCATTTCGCACTCGCTATTCATTCGTTTGTTTGGGACCCACCGAAGCCTGCTTTTTCTGTTGTATATGGCATCTTCTCATCTTACTCTGTATTTTATGTAATTTTCATTATTAGCATGTATTGAATACTCCATGATATTCACTGTGATTTACTGTATACCAGCTTATGTGGTTTTGCCACAATAATTTTGTACAACATAATGTACAGCAATAAACTCAATCAATCAATCAATTTCCCGCCTTCTACCAGCCTACCTAACTTTACCTCACTTCATCCCATAGTCCGCTCCGTTCCTCCTTGACTATTCCTTTCCTCCCCCCTTTCCCGCCGCTTCGTCACATCATGCTTCTAACCTTTAAAGTGCCTCTTTTCCACTAATTTTCTTTCCCTCCCGGACCTTTCCATATTTCATTACATTCGCTCCACTCTTGTTAACGCTTCCACTCCCACTTCCTGCCACTGCCACACTTCCTCTCTCCTTAAAACCACCCTTCCTCACTATTTCTCTGTCCACCACCAAAAACCACGACCACTCCATTCAGATGCCACTCCATTCCCCCCACTGTCTATATATAATAGTTCGAAATGCGGCAATCAAATCATTTTTTCTAGACAAAAAAAAATCCGGGGTGACTGAGTTGACATGGAATGTCCCCTATACAGATGCGAGCTCATTGTTTTATTATCAATTTTTCTTTGAATTCATTTTGCATTAGCCTAATGTGCATTTTGAAATCAAAATTACGGTGATTTTCCATCTATCTAGAGATGAAGCTATTTTATTTATGACAGTCACAAATTAGAAATGAGTTTAACCGTCATTGTGTATCCATATAGATGATTTGACAACAATTTGCTTACAAATTATTTGTGGCGATCATTTGTAGTTACGAAATTCGTGCGTCACATGATCGTCGATTTTTGATCACATGACGCGATCTCAAAAACGACTGTCATTTTCCATCTCTAATTCAGAAGAATTGAGAATCAACAATGCTATTTTGAAAAACAAAAAAATCAAATTCTCAGTTCTCAAAAAAGTTGAAAGTAGATTGAGAGATAATTGAAAATGAAAAAATATTTTTCCAAACGCAATCCGGAGAATTTTTTCAGAGTTTTCAGAAAACTGGATAATTTTCTCCAATTTTTTATAAAAACGCAGAATTTTTGCAAATTCTTTAATAAACTGGAGAATTTTTTCGAAAAACGGAGAATTTTGTCGAATTTTCTAGATAATCGTAGAATTCTTCCGAACTTATGAGAAAATCGGCGAACCTCGTGCAATTTAGTAGAAAATCGGAGAATTACCTTGAAGTTCCTTGAATTTTTTAGAAAACCGGAGAATTTTCTGGAACGCTCTCGGAAACTTGGCTCTTCCGGACCAAGTTGAGAGTTGGACTCTGGATAATTTATGGTTTTTGAGAGAAAATTCAGGGTTAGTTGAAAGTTGGAGTGACGAGGCGTAAAATGCATTTTATGCAAGTCGCCCTCGTTACCATCAACTTTACTATGGGGATAGAAAATTTGATTTTTGGATTTTGATTCTCAGGTATCTCTGAATGTACCTTCAACTTTTTTGAGAGTTGAGAGTTGAATTTTTAATTCTTAATTGTCTCCCAATCGACTCTCAGTGAATTGAGAGTCAATTGAAAATCAAGAATCCAAATCTCAATTTTTTTGAAACCATTGAGAACTAATTGAGCATCAAAAATCCTATTTTCAGTAGTAATACCACTAGTGCTTCAAAATATCCGATTAATTTTGGAGCACGAGTGGTATTTGACGGATTATTTTTCCACTCGGTTTTCGGCCAAGCAGAGGGCAGTGAACAGCACCTGGATACACTTACACAGCCATACATTTATAACCCACTTTTTTGTTTATCTGTCGGACAGAATATTAAACGTGAGATGCGTTGAAAGTTAAGAAACATTTGAAAAGCTACTAGTGAATTTCCGTCGGAATTTTTTTAGAAATTTCCGAAATAAAACTGTTTGACAGCCTCAAATACGGCGCTCTGATTGGCTGAAATCCGAGTGAGAAAAATAATCAGTACTAATACCACGAGACCTCTAAAATTATCGGATATTTCCCGATTGTTTTGTTGCGTACCAACGAGAGGAAGAAATTTTGCAGATTAAAATTTTTTGTGCCAACGTTATCCCGATCGTTGATACGCAGTAAAACATGAGGAAAATGGCCGATTAATTTTGGAGGTCGAGTGGTGTTCGACGAATTATTTTTGGTAATCGGATCCCTCCCAAACCGACTCATTTTGACTTTCTTCATGACTTTCTTTCACTGCACAGGATAATATTTGACAGTTATTTGGTTAGAGAACCAATTGCAGAGCTAGAGGGAAATTATCAAAAGCTAGGAAGAAATAACCGCTGTAATTTTAATTGGGAAGTACTTCATGTTATTGAATACTGAACTCTGATTGGCCCAGGGAAGGGCAGATCCGATTACCAAAAATAATCAACAAAAAAAACCAGCATTAAATTCTTAAAAGTTTTCGATAGAATTCTCCGATTCTTTGAAAAATTCGAAGAAATTCCCGAGTTTTATAGAAAATTCTAGAAAATGCTTGGGTTTTTTAAAAAGTCACGGATGAAAAAATTTAACCCGCGATTACTCGTTCAATGAGCGCGGCGCCGCCCGTTTTTGTCTATTTATATTTTTGTGTTTCTTGACGCTATGATTTCCCCTCGAAAATCCAATTAAATATTGATTTTCTTTAATTTCAAACGAAATAATATTTTAACGGAAAAACCGTTGAAATTTAGAATTCTCTCTCGTGTTGAATTTCTCTTTATTTTTGAAGGCCAAGGGACAGCTGCAAATCGTAAATTTGTACCAAACATTTTCAAAAGTACATTTTCTCCGAAAATCCGGTGGTAAAGGGGTAGACATGGGTCATGCTCTTGTCGCGCCAAATGCGAACCAACTGCACGCCCCAGCCTATCTCTATTGTCCACCGTCAGTCCCGCGAGGCGTCAGGAGGGCAAGTGCATTTGGGAAACGGGGGAATTTTCCCTTCTTAGCGTGGGGTCTGTTCATCTTCAAGGTTCAGACCCTCATAAACTTAAAATTCGAAATTCTCGTTCCGAAAATTTTATGAGCGGATATTTGTGTTTCGCCTCTTCACAGGAAGTAATAAATCTTCTTTGACAATTTTCAAAGTTTCAAAAAATATTGTTTGTTGTTAACAATTTTTGGTTCATTCTTCCCGAAATTTTCAGACGATCATTTTGATCTAAAACTCTTTACGGTACGATAATTCAAACTGAATGTTTCTGAATTATCGTAACTTGAAGGAATTCAATCCCATTATAATTCAACTCATTTATTTTCAAATATTGTCAATTGAACTCAATTCAATTATTATTTCAAATTATTTTCAATTGAATCCTATTCAAATTTATTTTCATTTAATTACACGTAAAACGATGTCAAAATTTATTGATTGAATTTCGTTCAATTGAATATAAATTCATTTCTTCTTTTGAAAACTCAATTTCAAAATATTCAGGAAATTATTAATTTATGACTCTCAAGTCTATTATTTCAGGACTTAAAGAAAATAGTTAATCAAAAGAAATAATTCTCTTTTAAATGAATAATTGATGGGGTTTGAATTTACCATAATTCAAACTCAAATGATTCATCTATATTTTAAACGGAAAGAGAACGACGAAATTGGATTAATTAATTTTTCATTTATAAATAATTTTCTATTTCATTTTTCTTAATTAATGTCAAAATAATTTCAATTATCCAATTATTTGTTAGAGGTTAGAATAATATTTTTCAATTAACAATAAGGCTAATTTTAAATAAATATTATCATTTAAATAATTAATTTAATAGTTTGTGGAAGGAGAAAATGGGTCCTCCCGAAACAAACATCATTGGCAGTTGGAGATGGAAATGTCTGCCCACAACCCAACATCTCGATGTGGAGGGGTCGGAGTTTAATCCTGAAGCATTGGGACCGGGAGTGTCAGGAGTGAAAACTCTGGGCCAAGGTCAGAGACCATTGGTCCCCGAATTTTCCCGCCTTACATCTGAGGACACACCCTCAGGCTGAGGATACAAAACCACCTGCGCGTCGTTTTGCTTCGCAGTTCCACCGTAACTCTCAAGTTACTTCTTCAAGTCCTTCGTGACTCTTTAGTCTTTCGTGGCTAATTTTATTTAAGTCCTTCGTGGCTTGTACTATAAGTCTTTCGCCACTTAAAATTTTAAATGCAGTCTTTGTGGCTGACCTCAATTTTTTTTGTACTTTGAAAAGTCTTTCACGACTATATTTTTATTGTAATTAAAAGTTAAATTCTAATAGTGAAAGTTAATATTGCGGCACTTACAAGGAACACTACGCAGGTGTCCCCTCCGATTTCGATGAAACTTAAATATGTTATAGGGGACCCAAAACTAAGGGACAAGTATTTTTTTTAGCTGCCCATGTTAGGTTTTACCGGGTGAAAGTGCTCTCTGAAGTTGACCTCCTCTCGGGGTCATTTTTCGATTGCACACATAAAAAAGCTGTTTGAACAACTCTTTCGCAGTGTATCATGAAGGTCACAAGGAATGATGAAAATGCGAATTAGAACCGTCTCCGGAGGGTGAAATATGGAGGGTAAACTACCTTTGTGAAAATTCATTTTTCTCATAGAAAAAAAACTTTTAATGGAAATCCCATGGGATAAATTCGATTTGAAAAAGTAGAAT